GGAAGCCAAACTCACCCTCTTTATTTGAAATATGCATTCCTTTGAAAATATATTTGTGGTGGAATGAGATTCCATAAGATTACATTGAACAAATCATTAAGTGAATACTTGTCAAGTATAAATAGAATGCCACTCAGAAATAGACAATTTGAATTGTTCATTTAAGTGTTTTTAATTAACTTTAAAGATGTCCATCTGACAGTGTCCCATAAGATCTTAGCAATCTACTTACTTAAGGTAGGCATAATCATTTGAGATATCTCTCTAGGGACAAGTATTTCCAAAAAAACTCTGGGTGGAATCTGAACCTCGTTAACAAGCCTGCCATTGGTTATAGTAGCTTCAATCAACTTCAGTTCAGACATTGACCAGTTCATAGAATAGCCAGATAACTAGCCAACATTATTAATAGTCTGCATCAAAGCTGGAACAAATTATTAGAGTTGCGAGATAAACAATAAAAGTTCATTGGCATAAACCATAAAGTTAAATTTTATACAGTTCTTTACAATTCAATACAATTATGTGCCGCAAACCACTCAGCAATTAAATAAATAAATGCATTTATCTACAGATCCATGAAATTTGTTGGATAGCACATGATGACAGGGGATCCATATGTAAATCAGATATCAGCAGAGAGAACAGACATCATTGGTACTTTTCTCAAGTTAATCTCAGGATAGATAAAAGGAAATACTTCATCAAACAATGCATAATTAAATGGTGGAAATCACAGGAAGTAGTGATGGCTACTAACTGGACAACTTTAAAAGGGGACTCAGCACATTCACGGAGGAAGGAAGGAAGGAAGGAAGGAAGGAAGGAAGGAAGAGAAAGAAGAGACTATCAATGGCTGCTAGCCTTGCTGACTATGTGCTATCTCCATTCACAGAGGTGGCACACCTGCATACCCCAGTGGCTGGGATGCTTGGGCAGACAGAGGTCTTGCACCCATCCTGCTTGAGGGATCCTGTGGGCAGCTTTGCCACCACAAGGAGTACATGAATGGAGTGCTGGACCAGAGGGACCATTGGTCTGATGCAGCATGCCTTTCATTATATTCTTATGTTCCAATCTATTTCTCAAATCCTGTAAGAAATCAAAGTTTCACAATGGAGCCAAAATAAATTTCCAGTGAATTTTGTCAAAGGCTTTCTCCACATTCAAAGCAATAATGGCAGTTGCATCTATTCTATCAACAATCAGTCTGACATTATCAGCCCCATATCTGTTTTTAAGTCACCTAATCTGTATGGACTAATGCTGCAATAACTAGTTGTAGTCTATCAGCCAACATTGCAGTTTATATTTTAAAATTGGCATTGATCAATGAGATAAGTCAATAATTGGCACAATAAGTACACTCCCTATCAGATGTGGGTAATGTAAGCTGACAATAAAATGCTCCTGTGGCGAACAATAACCTAGAAAATGAATTGGAAATCCATCCAGACTACACAATTCCCAGTGTTCATATCAGTTATTGCCTTTGTAATATCCTTTATTATGCAATTCTGAATATTTTTAAAAACAAAAGTTTATATCTTCAGCATTATATCTTGCTATATTGTATACAATCACCAAAGTAACACTTCAGTGTTTTTGTTGTTTGAGGCAATGAGCCAAATTCTTACAAGAATGTTCACCACTGTCTCAAGATGTCTTTCTTAAACAGACTAAAACAAATTCTGTGAAAGAATATTGTTCAACTCATATTTGACATTCTGCACTTCCTGATACGGCCTTGCCGTTGGAGAGGTCACAATCTGAGTTACAAGATTTTTCAACCTGTCACTTAGAGCCACGTGTTGCTCCTTTTAAAATTTTACTTTTATGAGAAGCATAAATGATAATACAGTTCCAGGGCAGCAAATCATTAATGGCTTTGTTCATTTTTATTATATTTTCTCAGCCAGGTAGAAACATTTGTTGGATTTCCTGCCCATGAGCCACAATAGCTGGGCCTTGGGCATCATGGTGTACCCATACCAGAGAAACCCCTCAGGCCAGGTCAAAGGCACTCTGCTTTCATTGTCAGCACCACTTCATTTCTTGTTCTTCAATAAGCCTCTTGGTATTGAGGCTGTTGCTGATTAAAGAACGTAGGCATGGCCCTCTTTGCATGATACTGAATATGTGCTATGACTCACTAGTTCCATCTAATGGGGCAAATGCCATGGGCCAGCTCTGCCTCACATTGATTCAAACCAGAGGGATGCTGAGCAGCTGGAAAACACCACGTCTTACGCAGTCAAGCCATGAGAAAGATGATGCAATCTGTGTATATGTGTATGATAAGTTCCACAGAAGTGGCTTGGGAAAAGCAGTCTTCCTCAACCTGGGGCCTTCTGCTTAAGGTGGACTGCAACTCATGATTCTCAGCCTTTGACACTGGCTGGCAATGATGGGAATTGCAATTCAACACATCTGGAGGACAGGAGGTTAAGAAGGCTCCTCTCTGCATGGTTCAGCCTTAGGCCTGCATAGGCCTTAATTTCACTGAAATCCAAAGCAACCATAGCCCAAGGTTAGGCAGCTGCATCACATGGCCCAAACACAATTACTAGATACTCAGAATGGCCATATTCATATTGCATAGAAGATGCAAACAGTCATCTTCTATTTTCCCCTTTCCAGATCTTTCCAAGTGGCAGGCCACCTATAAATCCAATTTGGTGAATATCCACATCCTTGTAGAAGTTCTAATCGGTCTAGAATGGGGTTAGGCGGTTCTAGTTCTGGTTTAACTTCTGGTAGTCTACACAAGGATACAGCCCTTTCCCCTTTATTTTTCTTTAAAGACAAGATTGTGACTGCAACCAGGGAGGTGGATGTATGGATGAACCACCTTGTCAGATTGTATTTCAGATGTTCTAGTAAGGCTTCTAGCTCCAGAGCCTCCAGTGCATTGCTTTGTTGTATACCATCCAGAGAGCTTCAGCTACAGGTGTCATAGAAATGAAATGAAATATAAATTTGTACATACATAAATCTGCCCAAGCAGAATCTTGGTCCCTGATTGTCAAATAAAAGGGCACTTACAGGGCTAATGTGGGTGCAACTTCTCAACCAATATGCCCACAAAGTCACAATATGGGCTAGGAAGGTGATTAGCCCTTAGGTTGATGTTTTTGCTGCAGCAGTGCCATGGTGCACCAGATCTCCATAGATCTGCAAACTTCAAGTTCCCCTGGAAATTCAGCAAATTTCCAGGGGAAATTTCCGTTTCAGCAAATGACTGAAAAAGGTTGCCCAACAATTGAGATGCAGGGGGATTTGAACTTGAGCATCTACAAGTGCCAAGAAATCATGAAGTCATTGTTTAATTAAACTTGGATTCCTCAAAATCACTGGGTAGGGCAGTGATCTAACAAGATCTGGGTAGGGTAGATCTAACAAGATCACATGACAACAGTTCCTGGTATTGTCAAAGTAGCTAATCCCACCCAAAAACAAGTCTGCTCCATGAATGGGCCCAGACTACAATTGCAACAATCCCTTCAGAATCCGGCCCTCTTTTTGCCTGACTTCTTTCTCCTGCTTGGCCTTCCCTTAAGAAGCCAGCTCAACCAAGAGAAAGTCCACAAAGTCTGTGGAACTCCTGCTTGGCACACTCAATGCTAAGTTGGACTCAGAGTCACAAGAAAGCATGCCAGGGTCCAGCGAGCCAAGCCACAGGGATCTAACAGGTTCCCTCTCCACAGCAGATGCCTCACACAGACAAAAGTAGGGAGTCATCAAGCACATCTACAGGGTCACTTGTAAAATATAAAGGCACTTTACTGTTGGAAGTCTTCTTGAACTAACAGGCCATGGTTCCATCAATTTGGCTTTTAACATGTAGCTTCTGTATGGCCTGAAGTGCCTAATTCTGCCTAATTTTGGAAGCCAGGCATGGCCAGTCTTGGTTAGAACCTGGATGGGAGACTTTAAGACCTGCACTGAGCAGGAAGGTTGGACCCAATAGACTTTCAGGCCCCTTCCAATTCTATGGTATGGTTTTTCCCCCTTTTATCAGCTTTATCTTATTTTTTTTCTTGTAAACTATTGCAGCTTTTTGTTGCAGGCAGTTTAGAACTGACTGACCTGAGAGTCTGATCAGATAAACCACTCTAAATTGTAACAAGTCTCAAGTTTCATGTTTCTGGCACGAAGTCAGGTGGCACTGGGGAAATGGCAGCTTCTGCTTTCATAAAATATGAAATGCTGGCAAAAGCTGTGCTCATTTCTGTGAAGCAGAACTGAACTGCTCCCACCTGAAGCTACAAACTATGGAGATCATAGTAGTTTTAAAAAGATGCAATCCTTTACCTCACAAAGAGAATGCTTACAGTCCAGCACAAAATCAGATAGTTTCAAGTACATTGATTCCAATTGGGATTTTACATGCCTGATTTTGTGTTGGATTGTGGTCAAAAAACGGTTTTCATTTGTCAGCCAAACATTTTCGGTGGTGTAACAGGAGAGGAAATGCAGGGAAGAACAGCTCCAGAACATTTTTCGGACCAGGAGCAATGATGTAATCTTCCACAGGACTATTGAAAAATTTTATTGAAAGGTTTATTGAAAACATAGGATAAGCACAGCTCCCTGCATTTTTAAACTCTCCTCTAAAGCATGGCCGTGGGAGCTGTCACAATGCCTTGCATCACAGCACTGAGAATATTTTTTAAAATCATTGTGCAAGGTTTAACTCTATTAAATCAGTCAATACCTCCATTGCAGAGCCAAACCTCTGCATGGTTTTTTATAATAATTTTATTATAAATTTTATACCTTTTGTAATTTTATAAATTATAAAAAAATAGTAATTTTATACCTGCAACATGAAATATTTCTAGTGGCGTCTTTGAAGGGCAAAGTCTCACAGAATCACATAGTTCTTTTTTCTATGAAATCAGAATAATGTGAAAAGTTTTAAGACTGAAATAGTCTGGATGGAAGCCAACCAATTGTCTCCTCCCAATGAAGCCGTTTCCTCAGTGTTATTTTTTCAGTGTGAACTTTTGCAACAATTTCCTGTTTCTGTCTGAGAACGGCTTCTAATCAGGGCACATTGGCTTCTCGAGCATCTGAGTGGGACCACAAGGCATGAAAGGTAAGACACAGCACTTAGAAGATAAAGATTGACACCTCTTAGTTGGTATTCTTGACTTCGGCCTCCAGAGTGTTTTTACAAGAAAAGCAGACGGTATAAAATATAAGATAGAGAAGTCTTTTATATCATAACCCAAAATGATGAGTGAAAAGGTTCCATTTTGGAAGATAACACTTACCAAGTAGATTTTTTAAAAAATCGTACATTGCTTGGGATGGAACAGCAACTTTTAGAAGGAATAAGCAAGCAAGTAGATGAGCAATGTATACGTTGATGTATAATTGATACCTATGTATAATTGTCAGTGTAATTGATATTAGCTTAGCACAGGGGTGGACAGAAGCTAGTTTTCCAGATGTTTTGGACTTTTAATCGCTAGAAGCCCTTGTCAGCATGACCAATGTTCAGGAATGTCAGAAGTTAAAGTCCAGCATATCTGGAAATCAACTTTCTGCCCACCCCTGGACGAGGATCCATTATTGGAGCCCTGAGTGAACAGACTGGGTCGCTCCCAGCAGTGAGAGTTGAAGAAAGTGTGACCAAAGGAGCAAGATGTCCTTCTTCTGGGCCAGGGGCTGATATGACAGGTAAACATCCATTAATGGGCTTTCCTAGTAGATGCTTTGGGAAGCCAATGGTGGGCCACTAATGTAGGGTTAGCTGGATAAAACTTTTGAGACCCTTTTTTCTGGTACTTATTCCTGGTGAAACTTTGCCCTTGATTTCCTTTTCAGAAAATTACTTTCCAATATGTTGTTAGTGCATGCACACACACATGTGCGGTAGAGCTCCCCTGGTTTCAGTGACCCTCTACTCTTTAGATTAAGGATGCAAATGCAATTTCAGAAAAATTCTCAGGGACCACATTCCAGGACTAAACAGAGCCAAAACAGCAGGCTGGGGCCAAAATGCCGGCATATTTACTGCTAATAACTAAGCCTTATTAGAGTCATGTCAGCCTTTTCAAATGCTTCATGGATGCAAATAAGGAAAAAAAAACACTTCTGCTGCTGAGTAAATATATTTAATGAGCTCTGCTCTGATTTTTTCCCTTTTATTTCTCCATATTATGGCTCTACATTTTGTTGTGCTTATTTATTTATTATGTTTCTTCACTGACCACTAGCCAATGCTCTCTGGGAAGGTCACAAAAATTAAAAGCATAAAACAGAAAGTGGCAAAACATAATATAAAAGTGTTAAAAGAAAACTCAGAATAAAAGCTAGGAGTAATGCAAATATCTATACACATTTTAAAAGCAAAGCTACAAGCAAATAAAAAGGTTGTCACCTGGCACTGAAAATATAGATGCGGGGGAGCCGTTCTGGTTATTATCTCGAGCTTCTTGATTCTTTTTTCATATATATATTATTAAAATTTTTAAACTAAGACTAAAAAAAAATCAAACATCACAAACATTACCATTGGATTCACTGGGTCAGCCTCCTACTACATATTTTTTAACATTCTAATCTCAAATTCCAGTTAGTTTATTGGGCTTCTTGAATCTTATGGGTTTCAGTGCTATATGAATATGATAGTTCTATATTTTTATTGCTTTGCTTTTATTGCATCTAGTTATTTATTTAACTTAAAACATGTTCCTGTTACCTGCTTCGGTTTCTTTTCAGAAGATAAAAAGCAGGGCACAAATATCTTAAAATAAATACAACACATCAAGTCCGGTGCAAACTTATTCATACACAGTGCAAACCCATCTGTGGGAGCACAAAAGAATCAGTGGGGGCACAATGGCCCATTAGATACTGCCCTTTAGGTAGTTCCAACCCATTATAATTTATACAGTATTGAGTTAACATATAGAATTTGCTGCCACAGAACATGGTATTAGCTACTGTCTTAAATGACTTCCCAAAGGATGAGACAGATTCATGGAGGCTCAGTCTACCCATAGGTATGTAGCTATGAGAACTAAATGGAACCTGCATGTGCAAGGGCAGTCTACCTCTGAATGTTAGCTAGATCCTGGAGGAGATGCTTTCCTGGTTACCTGAAGGAGCGCTTGCATCCATATATGCCCAGCCGCCCCTTGAGATCGGTGGGGGAGGCCCTTCTCCGGGAACCCTCCATGAAAGAAATTAGGAGGGTGGCTACTCGGAGGAGGGCTTTCTCTGCGGTGGCGCCTAAGTTATGGAACGCGCTCCCCAGAGAGGTCCGCCTAGCGGCGTCGTTATTTGTTTTTCGGCCCCAGGCGAAGACCTTTTTATTCAAGCGGCATTTTAACTGTTAACATTATTGGTTTTATCTGGCCAGGGTGGCTTATTTTATACTGTATTGTTGTATTTTAATTTAATATTTATATTTTTAATTTATATTATAATTATTTTAACTTAATGATGCGAGCCGCCCCGAGGCTTCGGCGAATGGGGCGGCATAAAAATGTTTTAATAAATAAACAAATAAATAAATAAATAAATAATCTCCTGCCTAGGTACTAGGGGAGTCAAACCTCTTTCAGCCTGAAAGCCAAACTTCATTTTAGAGAAGCCTCCAGGGCCTCATTCCCGTGGTGGGAATAGCCAAAGGCCAAAGCTGTCTCCCAAAACCGCTTGGAGCATTTTGTGCCCTTAGCTGCGTCACAGAAGAGACATTGCGGCCTTTCCAACCAATAAAAATACAAGCACTGGAAAACCACCTTATGATTGGTGGTCATGGAAAAGGGACTCGGGCCAGAGAAAAGGGGCACGAAGATCTGGGAGACGAGGTATGGATTGGACCACAGATGTGCTCAGGCCAAGGAAGCACCTAGCTGGGCACTGCTGGATCCAAGATGTTAATGGCATTTTCCTCCAGTCCAGCAGGGCTCTTTCCTTATGCCAACATCTCAAAATTCACTAAGGGCACAATCCCAGCATGAGGATTCTCTGTAGACTGGGAGGGGTGGCAGGGGTGAGCTTGGCTTCCCCCTCCTCCCACACGGAAATAGACATTCATTTTCCTCACCTCAAGCAACAGCTGGCAGGTTCTTTCCGAGCCAGTTACAGGGGAAAGGAACAGAGCTCGAATCTCCTCCACCAGGTCAGAGCGCTGCCTCTAACGTCAGGTCAGTCCACTGTGGCTTCCACCCCCGCACAGTGTCTCACAGCCATAGGATTGTTTCCTGTGGTGTCTTCTCTCTTTCTCTCTCTGGCTCCTCCTACATGCAGACCTGGGAGAACCTTACCAGAAGAACAAATGGAAATACTATTCTTTTCCCACCCTTGAGATTTTACTTGACTAGGTACTCACTAATTCTTGTAAATGTCAGTACTTCATGCTCCAAGTCTCCTTCCTTCCAGACTTTTAAAACAGGGGGAGAGGGATGGAACTGAAGTCATCAAAAATGAAAGATGCAGTTCCTTCTGTATTTCCATCATTTACTACTAGTTTTGTCATGAGGTTCTGTTTATCTGTTTCTCTTTATCAAAGTACTAAAATAAATTACCTGATTCTAGCTTTCCCCCCTTCTACTTTCAGCATGCTGGGGAGGAACTCACGAAATGGAGTCCTTGTTTTTTGACAAAAAAACTATGATTCACTCTTCTGTATCCCAACTGGACTGGGAATGGTGAGAACCCATAAGCATCTGTGCCTGCCTAGCTAGATCCAGCCAGTTCTGACCAGAACAATGAACTGTGTCAATTTGACATGTGGAATATCTCATGAACTAGATAAATATCTGTTTCCTGTTCTCTACAGCATTTTGATTATTATCAGCATTCCTGTTAATTGCATATCCCTTTACATATCTTGCGGCCAAGTGAAGAAAAAGAATGAATTGGGCATCTATCTCCTGAGTTTAACTTTAGCTGACTTACTCTATACATTGACGCTGCCTCTGTGGATTTATTATGCTCAGAACGGGGATGACTGGAAACTTTCTGAAAACTTTTGCATGATCGCTGCATTTCTCAAGCACCTGAATTATTATACCAGTGCGGGATTCCTCACATGCATTTCCCTGGATAGATACATAGCTGTAGTGTACCCACTGAGGTTCCATTATTTGCGAACACGAAGATTTGCCTTGCTTATCTCTGCCTTAGTTTGGGGCTTCGAAATCATGTCAAACTATCAGATTTTAAAGCACAAGGAGACCACAACCAAGATTAACCGTACTCTGTGTTACGACACATACCCACTAGAAAATTGGCAAGCTTGGTTCAATTTTTACCGGATCTGTGTGGGGTATGCCATCCCATTAGTTATCATGGTGTTCTGCTACCAGAGGATATACCAAGCTGTAAAGCACAATCAAGCAACCCAAGAAAGTGACAAGAAGAAAATCAGCTATTTGCTGCTGAGCATCATCATCACTTTCATCTTATGCTTCACTCCCTATCATGTTGTTCTTTTAATGCGCAGCATCTCTGAGCCATGTAACTGTGACTTTGCCAAGATTATGTTTGCCCCCTATCGAATCACAACAGCATTGACAAGCTTCAATTGTATAGCTGATCCAATCCTTTATTGCTTCGTGAGTGAGAATGGAAGAACGGATATGTGGAGCTTGTTCAAGAGTGGCTGTTCTGAGAGCCAAACAGATGAGCATCGGTCGCAAATGGTTCCTTTGTCCACAAGTCACAGGTGTCTGGAGAAACAGGAGATTTGCTTAAGCCTTAATGCAGCGCACTGCCCAAGTAAAACTGGATGAAGGCAAAGAGGTCTCATATCCCCCATATTGTTCGGGCTGGGCCCATACCCTCTCAACTAGCCTACGATCATAGACTCATAGGATAGCAGAGTTGGAAGGGGCCAAGAAGGGCATGAGGAGCAATCCCCTGCTCAAGGAAGCTCAGAGGGAAGTCTGGGGGATGGCAGATGACGCTGGCGTTCCTGCTAAAAAAAATGTGCTGACACCGTATCCCTGTGAACTCTGGCTTTTCTAAACCACTGAGTGAATAAAAAGATATTCTTAGGGGAAACGAAAGCAGAAGGACTAGTACATAAATTGATCGTTGTATACTGTTATGTCAATTTGTCCATTAGAACTTTGCGGGTGTTCAAGGATAGGCTGGACGTGCACATGGTGGGCATGTCGTGAGCGGAGCCGGCTGGTGCCGGAGGTCAGACTAGATGGCCCGGGAGACCCCTTCTGACTCGCTCTGTTTCTATGTTTCTATGTAACTTCAGCAAGGATTTCCAAAATGAAGATGGCGGTATTCCTTCTGATCTCAGTGCTTCTGAAATAATTTATAGCTGGTAAACAGAATGAAAGCCATGTACTTTTCTAGCAACTGATGCTCAGAGACTGCAACTAAGGTCCCCCAGTCAGAATTCCACTATATCAAAGAACGTGTCAATTGGAGGAGGATGTAATAGCAGAAAAAAGTTACTATCTTCAGTATTTTATTATTTCCATGTTTTCTGTTATATATTATACTTAAACAAAAAGGCAGAAATAAAGGTGTTTTTTCAAAGGAGAAAAGGCACCAAACATTTTCAGATCCTGTGTGCTAATGTTACACAGAGCACTTATTTAAATGAACTCCTTTATTTTCCTGGTTAAATTATTATCAAAATATTATAATGAGGATATTAAGAAATCAATGTTCAATTCCCTCCCCTTCCTTAAAAAAATTAAACAGCTTAGGGTGAAGGAAGGCTGGGATGGGTCCCTGCAGCCCCCCTTCCAGGGCCTCTCGCAGCAACCTGCCCCAGTCTGAATTCAGCTGCAATGACCACACCAGTAAGGTGGAAAGCTTATTTTAAGAGGTAAGGGAACAAAGAACTAGGGTCCAAAAAGGAAGGAGAAAAGGAGCTACTGGCCTCACCGGATATGTGCCACCTGTTACCAGAGGTGACATGCCTGCACACACCAGCTGCTGAGGAGCTGGGGCAGGCAGAGGTCTCGCCCCCATCCTTGCTTGAGGGACCCCATGGGCAGCTGCCTTGCCACCGTGCTATCAGCTGGGCTGGATGGAGCATTGCTATGATCCCACATGGCTTTCCTTATGTTCTTAAGATCAAATACAAAGTAAAATCTAAGAATAACATACTAAAACAGGCTATGATCCCAGTTCCCAAGAACATGCAGACCCTTCAGGACCTCGCCCTGACAGAAGAATAGCAAAACCTACCTCCACTTTACCTAGGCATGGGTCTCCCATGACTGGAGTCCAGCCAAGTCAGTAGGGAAAAGCCCCAGTCAATTCCTTCTCCAGGAGGAGATAAGAGACCCACTTCCGCTCCTGCATTTTATTTTGATCTCCCACAGCTAGTCCCAGCATAGCCCTCCATGACTTCGGGCATCTCCTGCCTGTTTTCATCCCAAAAGTAGGCATGCTAACTCAGAAAGGATTGGGAGGGAGCTCACCTTCTTCTCCTCCCCTGATCAGTCCTGGGAACAAATCATCCAACCTTCCAACTCTTTCTGCCAGACTCAGTCTGGAGAATTAACAGAAAAAAACCAAGCAACTTAGCTCTTGAGCTCCCTTTCCTGGACCTTCTTGATACTCAATAATAAAAGCTATAAAAGCCACAGAAAAGTCTAAATTATGTGCATGCTTGTGCTGAGATGCAAGTCCCTCTTGCAAGGTAAAGCACCACTGCTGTGCCTCGGACCAGGCATAAGAAGCACCTATGTTCTCGTCCTGCTTGGTCTTCCCTTCCTTTTCTTTTTCTTTTTCTTTTGACTGTGTGTACTTGGCCACCCTACTCTGTTACCTAAAATTCCAAGGGCTGTGGCACTGTCAGCTTTTGATTTTAAAACATTATGCCTGCTGGATAGGTCCAGGGGCTGAAGCCAGGGCACAGTAGATGAGATAGATTGTGACTGGAATTTATTAGAATCTCAAAAGGCCTAACTGAGCCTGGAAGCAGCTTGTCCTTTCAGAGTCCGGTGATGATAGTTCCTTGCAAACCTGGCATCTACAATCAGTTCTACGGACAGCTGTACAAAGCGCCAAATGAGACATGATGCCAAAAGCATCTTGGGGCAACTCACCTGTGTTTGTGTGTGTGTGTTTTAATTCACCACAGGAGCAAGAGGGATATTTGTCAAGCTTACAGGAGATGAGGAAGGACAATTCAACTCTTTCTTCTCCTGCCCTGGTCCCACCAAAAATACTAACCCACACCTGTTTAGCAATCCCAAGTAAGGTTGCAAATGAAATAGCAAGGCCGAGTATGTGGAGGGGGAATCGGCAGCAAGACTGTCTTGCTGCCATCAGCAACCTGATGGGCCAAGCTTGTTAGACTAAGTTGTCCACAACATGGAGCGGAAGAAGATCATGTCACAATATCATGGATCTGGTCCAAAGGTTGACAGTCTTGGGATGCAATTCCATGCATGTTTAGACAGAAAGAGCTTGCTAGAGAATGCTGGGAGTTGTGGGAATCTTTTCTGTCTAACAGCGCATAGGATTGCACCCTTAGACTCAGTTGCGTCCTATGCCTACCTGTGGTTTTAAAAACTTATTTGTTGATATAGTGTTACCTTTGTGCACTTGTCACCTTTGTTGGCTATTTTCTTTTTGTCTCTAACAATAATTTCTCATATTGCAGAAATACCATTAGAGTCATGAGCATATACCGCGTAATTTCCTTTGTCCTTGTTTTATCTAGATGTGTTCTGCTGTTATTTCCCCTCACCAGTTGCATTCACATTGCTATCAGTGCTGTCTTGCCTCAGTTTAGCCCACATGTTGCTATAGAAACACATAGTACAGGAAATGGAAAAACAGTTGCCTGATTGTCAGATGTGGCAACTTACCTTAGAGTCGCCTGCAGGAATTCATGAAGCACTCCTGTTCTTGTTAATGTACACACTTTGGCAGCATTAAAACTCCAGCCGCAAGATGCTCTGATAACCGAATTTTCCATTGTAATGTTATTTTAGGCCACCGTTGGGGAAGAACCTCTTTATGAAGTTCAGGCAGCCTTCGCCAGGCTGCTCACCTGACAGTTGGTTTAATCGAATTTCTAAGAGTGAGAACTAGGCTCCCGGAGGTTCCTCATTCCAATGAGGGAGGGATGTGTGACATTGTGTTTGACAGACTTCCACCATTTTTTCTGCTGAGTCCATTCAACACTACATATGGTACAACTTTTTACAAATGTATACGGATATTTTGCAAACTTTTTAAAAACATGTATTGTGCCTATTTCTCAAATTCTTTGCATCTCTGCAGGTATCCACTCATTGGTGAAAGCATTATATGTGCATGTTTTTTAAAAAGTACACATTCTTTGAACACTTTTCAAACTTATGCATTTCATCAGACAAACTCTTTTTGGTCCACTGAACACCTTGTAAGTTCTCTAATGTATAGATTTTTGGACTCCAAGTGTATCCATTTTGGTTCTCAGGGACTGCAGAGTGAAAAAAAAATCTGTTTCCTCACTTATCCCTGGTACAGAGCTTATCATAGCTGAGAACATGGTTATCGGCACATTATCGTGGTAATACTAACAATCTTCAATACAGAAGCCATTGCATGGATTATGGGGATAACATATGCAAGTCATTTTGAATATTCACAAGCCTGCAATCTTCTACCGATCTGCTAAGACTAAGCCCACTAAACACAGTGAAGTTTACTTTGGTGTATCTGTCCCAGCTCCTGCCAACCTTGTAGTTCGAAAGCATACAAATGCAAGTAGGTAAAAAGGTACCACTTTGGTGGGAAGGTAACAGCGTTCCGTGCACCATGGTGTCTAGTCATGCCGGCCACATGACCACAGAGACTGTCCTCGGACGAACACTGGCTTCCTCAGCTAGGAAACGGAGATGAGCACTGCCCTCTAGAGTCAGACATGACTGAACTTTAATGTCATGGGGAAACCTTTACCTTTATACATATAAAAGGTTGTACCATCAATATGCCCTATAAGCATTATTTCCTTTGGTTATCCTAATTTGTTTTAGAGTTCAGTCCAGTGGGACTGCCCTGGATAGGATGGAAGTGATCTTGCCTCCACCCTGCTCCTGCCCTGCACATCATTAGGTGGGCTATTTCAGACATCAGAATCAGGCACATTGGACAGGAAGGGAGGAGGTGGTGCCAGAATCAGTTGTATTTGTGGGGGACGTGGTTTCCTTCCCTCCCTGCCACCTGGAATGTCCTCTTCACCCCTGCTTTGAGGACCTGATACAAGATCTGAGAGGGAACTGGTGCAGTCCTTTTTGTGTTGGCTGCAAAACAGGGTGGAGAATCCAAGGATGGATCCCCACTTCTGAGGTCCAAACTCTTTTCTGACCTCAGAATCAGGAATCCACATTATCCTTTGACTCTCCAGATGTTATCTAAGGGGCCAAAGGATTGGTTTGTTCGATGCATGAAGGGGCAACATATAAATGAAATGTAATAATAGTAATAGTGGTGTCTGCTTTTGATAATGGGCTTTTGGCATTTGATGGGAAATCCTGAATAATTATTCATCTATCATTCTTGTATACAGTTTAATATTAAAAATCTCCAATTGATTCAGACACAAAAATTAAAATTCTTATTAAAAACAATTTCAACTACAACTATTCCAACAACATCGTAACAAATGCATTTAAGTTATGCTGTTAAAAACTATTTGAAAACTACAGTAACAAAATAATTTGGACAAATATGGAATACAGACAAAGTCATGTCCTTTAAAAGGGATCGAAGTTAGAATTTGCAGGGAAAAGAGCTCTGGAAAGTATAGAAGAACTTCAAGATACTTTTTCAGGGACCCATTCTGAAGATGTAGCAGGGTGCAGGAAAATTCCTGCAGTTACTGATGAAAAAGAAGTCCTGATAATGCTGTATGCAGTCACCATTTCAGCAAGAGTGGGAAGACAATAGGGGAGGATGAAGTGTTCTGGAAGAAGCACAGTTGAGGCTTTCCGACAGAATCCTGCTTGCATGGTTTGAGACTGATTCTGGCAAATGAAGAAAAGCCAACAAATGTGGCCAGGAACCCAGAGTTTGCCAGGCACCAGGAATGTTAGGTTTCAGGACCTTGGGAAAAACAGGAACTTTGTTTGCTCAAAAGTTTAGGAAAGCCTGAAGGATTAGACAATCAGTGACTAGGCTCAGTTAATATGATAACCCACACTTGTGTGAGACTGGGTCCACAGGGCATGATAAATCACCCCTGGCTTATAAGCCCACGGGTTTATCATGTGTGAACCCAGTGTGGGTTGCCATTGAATGATGGGTGGTTGTGCTGTACAAACCTAGCCATGCTAACACACCATGGTTTGCTGACCACAAACAACCCATAGTTCATAACCCAACAACCTAACAATATATCATGCTTTTCTTCAGGGATTATTAGTGGTTATCAAACCATGTTTTGTTAGCATTGCTGGAGCCACACAAAACAGCCATCCGCAGTTCAATCGCAAACCATGGGTTCGCAAGAACTCAACTCATATTCAGCCTTGTCATGAATGCAACATTTAAGTGTTAAGTCCCAGTGAGAGATAAAATGGCCTGGTGTGATGGGGGAGGTGGTTCATCCTT